TTCATTTGCGTGCAATTTTAATCCTCTACTACCACTTTGCATTTTGCCTTGGCATACAAGAAAAATGGTTCTCATTCTGTAAGCTCCGTCCTGAGAGTCCAGCTTTTGCAAATTGATGAAATCTCACTCCATGATTCCATTTTACATATGCCAAGATTTATATTTTGTGATTTAATCAGTCTATTGCTGCAAGTCATTGACCATAATTAATTATGCATTAATCGAACGAAGATTGTCTATGATGAAATCTATTAATATTCTGAAAATAGCTTTTAATATATCATCCTTCAATCCAAAATTAGTCAATCATATATTAAAGTTACAATAAAGATGACAGATCTTGTTGATGGCAGACATACCCCAGATGACGGAAAGACTTGACGATGAATAGAAGAAGAAAGTTAATGAAGTAAAGGTATTGTGATTTCCAGCTATTTGTATATCATGACTTTTATCGTATCAATAGATTTCAAGTCAAAAGAGCAGACAGAGTGATTAATGACTTAACACGTAATTTCTCTCTATCGTGTACTTCCATATTTATTTTTATTATTTAAGACTAGTTTGAGTAATGTTTCACTTCAGTAATGACCGTTGCCTAAATTTCAGAAAGTTAATTCTACCACGAAACTATCTTTTACAGTTATTGAACGGCCCATTTAATTGGACCTCATCTATGGGCGACTTTGCTGAAGCTATTTCTTTATAGATGTATAGAGTTGCCAAAATTATTCAGTGTATCGAAGCTTTAATTATTCAGTGTGTCGAAGCTTAAGAACAGATTGAATAATTTTGGCAACATTATACCTCCATACATCTTGTGGTTTTGCACGTCATCGAAAGAGAAGAAGGTGGTGACTCATTTCATGCATGACATCCACATCCATTATCAAAGCTCACGTAGCATAAGTATTGACCTTTGTAGCTGCAAAATTTAAACAATTTTAAAAACCCGAAGTTGCTTGTATTACTAATACAGAATTTTGCGAAGTCGCAGCCGCGGCAATGCAGGGTTCTGAAATTTTAGAAACGAGCGAACCAGTTCACAAACAGGCTTGACTTATTGATGGATTCCCGTTTCTATAAGCCTAAAAGGGTGAACAAATAATCAACTTGCGAAAACGAAACTTTGTGGTGAATTTTAGTCTGGATGATTAAGATTACAACTATTTAAAATCCAAGATGTAGCCCAGTTGATCGAGACAATTGTAACTTTACGCAATTGTTGGTACAAATGACGACTTTTACGAAACTGGTAAGGCTGTTGCAGAATTTTAGCTCATGAATCCCAAACTAAAAGGTTCCAACTTCCACAAATTTGAAAATAAACACATAATTCACACCCTAAAATGACCCCAAGATATCAATTTCCAAAGCAATAAAAATTGTCACAAAATTGATGGTTTTTCTCGAGTTAGATACGAGTAATTCTGAAACTTTAAGGTTCAGATTGTATCGTATGATTAGATTAATTATCGCCAATCAGTGTCATTCGAGATGAATTTCGACTCAGTAGATTGATACTAATAGACGATTGGATAGTGATATTTTTGAACCAATGATAGCTCAGTGTTGATATTCCGGTTATGGGCAGACAAAAGGAGATTGAAGGTTGCTATTTTGTTAAATGGGATGACATGTTATCAATGTAGTTAAAAAAAAATCCAATCTGGAGCAAGAGGCATAATAATGCTGGTGTGGAAAAAGACGTTGATCATACCAAAAACGCAAAATGCAAGAAGAATCTTAGTGAAATTGTTTTGAAGAAATTACATTTTTTACCAATTGGACACACTATTTATTTCAGCTTAAGACATGATTGCCAACTGCAGATAAGTTATGACCCCCCCCCCCCCCCTTCCTCCTCAAAGAAAAAATAGTAAATAAAAACGATTTATGTTGCTAGTGAGTGATGTTGTAAACATTTCATAACAGCTCGTGTGCTTCAGAGGCATAAGTAGTGATATTTCAAAATCTACTTTTATTCAAAATAATACTTTTGATGTTTAAATTTATTTATTACACTCAACAATGTATTCAGCCATCAATAACATGACGTCACGTCTATAAATAACATTATCACATACATAAAACATTATCATACAAATTACAGAACATTATTTTATATAAATTATCAGTATATGATTCACAATATACATACATTTTATAAACAAGGTCAATATTCCATATCATATTAATTCTTCATCTGTAGGAACGAAGACCTGGATGTTTCGTTTCGTGATTTTGGTTCTACACAATTTTTACGACCTGATTTTTGAAATTTACTTTATTTGCTTGACTTTAGTATCAAATATTAGTTTTGAAATGTGTTCTTCTTAACTTTCAAAAAGAGAATAGTTTTAGTTCAAAATTCACAGTTATTGTAATGAAGTGTATGGTGGCTTAGTTAGGACACATTTGAAGTTTTCTCAAGATGGTGTGATCGAGCGCTATAGAGGCCTATCTTTATAAATACAATTCTCCCATGTCTAGAGCACATCATATTTCGGCGAGAAAATAAACTACAGCCCACCTTTCAACGTCATAAAATGACCTATGTATTTGATTTAACTTTTCCGCCCATCTCTGAACATTCTCCATGCGCTTTACAACGTCCTAAATTAGCCACCATATAAGTGCAATATAAATTAATGAGTAACAGAAGCAGATCACATTGAGCAATATATATATACATCTAATATTATTTATTTATATTATGTCATGATGATTGTGTAAAGGAATTCTTAAAATGGTTTTACATCTTTGCAAATGGTCTTCAACAAATCTAAGAAATATTTAAGATATAGCCAAAGTAGTTGACCAAGTGATATATTGAAATATAAACTCCGGGACATGATCACAGCCAAATTTCCTTTTGTTACAGCGAAAATCAGAGATTCGAAATTCATTTTACCACTTTGAAAGATGCAAGAAATTCACAGAAAACCTTGAAATCAATTATTTACAAAATGCGCAATAGTAAAATTATAATAACAAATACTGTACAATGAAATCTTTAAAATAGTAAAACACAAAACCTTCAAACAAACGAGATCGTTGCTCGGTGGAATATATTAAATTCATATTAATTTTTGAATAGGCCTAACAATTTTTTTCATTGTATGAGAAAGTCCAAGAACTCTCAACTCTATGTATGTATGGTTTAACAATTCGAATGATATAAAAATCAATTTGATATGAAACACAGAATCATAACATACAACAGTTCTGAATGTTATAACGATTTTTCAGATTATTGCAATCTATATTTAAATAATATTTTTGATTATTTATGAATTATGATGAATTATATTAAGATAAAGATAAAGATAGATTGTTGAAGGGCTAATATGAGGGCACTGGATCTCTTTATTTCATGAAAACCAATATGTATTAATGATATAAAATGATAACATAAAATGAAGCCTTTGGATTTAAATTTGGTCCATTTTTTTTACATTTTTTACACGAAGACATGACATGACGTATGCTAAAAAATCATCACGAGTTCAGTTTGGTTTTATCTATCTTTTGTGTCTTATTTACAAAATTGTCGTTCGTTTTATAGTTCAGCAAAGATACTTTACCACATCAGAACCCAATTCAAAACATACGCTCGTAAACATGATCAATCCACTTTATTATTAGGTAGAATAGAGAGAAATTGAAATTGACTAATTCCGTCTATTACTACTTATACTACCTCAAAATAAAGTGGACTACTCCTGTTTATGTTTTGAATTGGTCCGGAACGTGCAAAAATATTTTGCTCGACTATATTCATATTGGCACCGCAAATTATTTACCCTGGATTAAGAAATATGGAAGATTTTAAAGTTGGCATCAAGCACATGTGGATTATCAACCTTTATAGAGTTCCAACCAACTTTCAGAAATCTAAATGGAAATTCTTCTGAACATCGGATCATATCACAACTTTCTATTTACAAAAATCACTGCCATACCTCACAAAATAATGCCACAGCTCAAATGGTATAGTGATACGATACAGTTAATATCAGCAGACTTATTATTAAATTTAGATTAATCTGGAACGACGAATAGCCACTGCCGGGACTTGCTATAGTTCTTGAGGGATTTTTATCTGAAAGAAAAACGAAAGGTTGATATGCTTTTAAACACATATTTCAGATTATTTCTCTTGGAATATTCAAAAAAATATATATTATAATTTAAACAAAAAACCTTAAAGGACACATCTTAAACCTCTAGAAAGACAATGTATAGTCCATCAGTAACACGTCAAAATGCAATAATCAATGAAAAAAAAAAATGAGAAAAAACCCTAAGGTTTGAAAAATTGATACTAAAATGAGTGCCAATGCGATTAATAGTTGAAATAATAAGGCAACATTTGAACAATCGGTTATCAGTCTTTAGCGTTAAGTAACTGAAGAATATTTTACCGGGATAAACTCCTCCAACTGGACGTTGTCTTTCTTTTGTTGGCTGGACATGACCAGGGGTTGGTTTCATTCTACTCTTCTCCCATCCACCACTTTCCATCCACCCTGCACCGTTATTATTGTTGTTATAATTATTTTGTCTGGAAATACCGCCCTCAGACTTCCATCCACCTTCTATTTCAACATCAACTTCATACTGCTGTCCATAACCTAACGTTGTTGTTGATGGCGTGGTCGGTTCTGGTTCAATCGCTGAAAAAATATGAAATTTTACTCCTTCACACCGTTATTGGGACATGCAAGGTTCTTCTGACATTTGTAACAACATGTATTTTAGGTTCTGCTTTAATATTTCTATATAACACTTATGTAAATACGCCAAAATGTTAAGAGCAAGAACTCAATTGCACATCCAGCTGTTGGATTTGTCAAATATGTTTTTTCTCTATAGATCAAAAAATGAGGAATGAGCTTAACCCTTTTTACACTCTCAGTATCGATTTACCGATGTACCATGGTTCGTAGGAAGATATTATTGTGCGTTTACTATGGTATTTTGGGTTTTAACATTCTTTAATAAACAGCAGGATACGTACCATATAATATCATATCTTCTGAATCACGACCTAATGGATTACTGCCTTCACAAGTATACGCACCAAAATCATTATCATCTAAATCCATAATACGTAAACTTAGCGTCACCATTCTATTTTCTTGATCTTCATAGGCCTCTATTGAATATTTATCACCTTTCTGACTAATTTTCTGTCCATTTCGTTTCCATACAGTAATACTTTGAGGATGAGCATAAATAGTACACTCTAAAATAGTTTCTTTTCCTCGTCTTTGGCCGATTCGTCTATTTGTCAATATTACCTCCGGAGCATCTGAAAGGAATCAATAGGCATACAAGAAATTGTTAGAATGAGACTGGTTAGTGTTTATTTTGTATTACAATCTTCTAGTTGGTTAGCTTTAATAACATGACGGTTATCTTTGATATCTCTTCATCTTGTTTGTGTCTTTATTATTCCTGATATTTTAGGTCCTGTCAATGATGCTTAGTTACACTTAGATTTAACGTGTTCTTTGTGTGACAACAAAATCTAATATGCCCTCCAGATGAAATTATATTGGCTTGAATCTTAATGAATTTCTGGTGGCGTTTGGAGAATCAACTTGTTTTATCGCTAACATGGATTGTGACATTTAACTAGGCGGATAAAAGACCAGATAACCAATAAACTGGGCACCGTTTCTTTACAAACATCAGCTTATTAAATCAATTCCTACTAAAATATCATAAAAATCCATATTTTTGTCCGGAATACTAGTAATCTATATCGAAAATCATTCTTAATAAATGATTATGAAACTGTAAGTCTAGTGACGTATGTAATTATGTCCACACAATATAGCTTCTTGATATTGTTCAAATTTATGTTAGGTCTATTCCGAAACTGGAGGTCGCCCAACAGACGACTTTACAGCAGTAACCTTTCTTTAAACTTTCCCTGTAAACCACATGTTTTAACATGGACAGTCTGGTAATGACTCAAGTATATTTAAAAAACACCATGAACATATAAATCTTTGGAGATTTGTCAATATACAAAAACAATATCGGATCAAGAATGTATGTTCTATAGCCTTCACAAGTTGACGTGGACGAATTGACGTGCAGACACACCGAGTAATTGCGATATTACCTCCATATTTTGCCATTTGTTGAGCTACAGACATATGTTGCGTGTACAAAAGTTCATGATTGGAAATTAGCATAAGGTTGTTAATTGAGAATATGTGTAAAATAATGTAATATAGATAACTAATAATGTAAATTGAAAATTATTCTTACATTGAACCTCCACTCTAATGGCTTTACTAACTGCTGGTGACACACCATTATCAACAAAACAGTCATAAATATCATCACAAAATCTTGATACATTATGTATTAATAATATACCTCCTTCCAAACCAATCTCTGGAAGAAAAGGCGAGAAATTAATCTACACGATTATAATACATGTAATTGCCAATAACCGTTTTTGAAGTCCGGGAATCATGAAATTTGAACTTTGTATAGATGCTGTAATGAGCATTGGGATAAGTCGTCACTGGGTCACTGGTTCTCATATGGGTTCCCCAAAATAAGACGAAGAGTCAATAACGAATCTTAAATCTTTGTTAGGTTTACTTACGCTCACGATGGTTCTTGCCCTGGCGGTAATTACGTTTATACCAAGTTACATTAGGTGCTGGAATGCCTGTTACATTACAAATTAACTCTGCCGTTTCACCTTCTTCTTTGACAACTAAATCTGATGAATATCGACTGATTATCATTGGGGGTACTGAAATATAATTAGATTAGAAATACAAACAATTTTAGAAACAAAAATGTTCTGCGAATGGAATAAATTTAGCAGTCTTGCTTAGCTATTTGACTTAGTGGTCGTGTGTTCTAATCTCGGTTAGCGTGTAAAAATCTTCACTATCCTGGTCGACCAAGATGCGAATAAGTATAAATAATCAAGGAAATGTCAAGAGATTTGTCCTAGAACAAGCCGGTAAACCGGATCCTCGTGAAGTTGTTATCCTTGTAAAGTGTTTCTTTGTTGTGAAACATAAAAAAATACTACTAATACTACATTTCTAGTATCATTCTGGATTTTAGGGGTTTTTTAGTTGGCAAATTTCATTGTTACAATTATGGTGAGTATCAATGTTTTTCGCAGACTTTTGAGATTTAAAGACTTACCTAATACCGATAGGGTAACTAGTTTAGCTTGTATAGGATCTGTGTTTATTTCACATTTATATGTACCACTATCATTATGACGAACATCGCGAATATGGAGATTCCATTCTTTGATATATGGTCTTTCTACACTTATTCTGTGGTCATCTAACATCCGTCTATCAGCATGACTTATTAATGTCTTTCTAGGATTGGACCATATCACCTATAGACATAATAAAATTACAATTATAGTAAACAACATGCAATATCATCATTCATTGTCTTCACCTTCAGACGTTTTATAGGTAAATAATCTGAGAATAGCAACGTATTCTAATATAATTATTGGTTCATGGACATAAACTACATTTCACAATCTTAAGAGTTGGCAAAATCCTTCCTATTGCACACTGTATTTATAGTTTAAAACGCAATGCTTATGATAACAGATGGAAATATGACCAATACTCTAGTCTTCCCAACCCACAGATTAACATCATAGTCGTCTTGAAGAATTGAAAATAAAGCCAATGGTGAAAAAAAAATAGATAAACCTGGCTGTTCTTTTTTAAGTTTTCCTTAAACTAAATCAATCATTTAACATGGACTATAACATTACTGGAAACACCTACATTGAATTCACAATATTCACAAAAATTCATATATAATTTAAACATCGGGATAAATGATTGAGTCACAACAACGGTTTTTATGAAGCTGGCTGGTCCCCCCCCCCCTTTTTTTTAAAAAAAAAAAAGAATAATAATCTAATTGATAGTTCTACAATTGATTCTATTTCGAGCCATATTTACGACAATGGAGCGAGACTGGAAGATTAATTCTAAAATCCAAATGTTATCAAAATTTCCACACTCAGAACGCATCTGCCATAAATTGAAATAGCAGGGACTTTTTCCATGGACAAGCCTGACATTGATTGTAGAGTTGTTGACTGATGCTGTCAATTTAGTCATCTAGAAACAGACCTAGGTCTATTTATTTACATTGCCAAACTTGACAGAGTGTTGTCAAGCAGAAAGAACAAACTTAACAAGAGTTTAAATATAGTAGCTAGTATATTCTGGGTTTCATTAGATATATATCGAAACTATACAGTATAATATAGTGCTCTAGATCTCGGAATGTGTTCTGAAAAACACGTTTAAAATTGATTAGAAGGAGTCGTGATAGAGAGAGCAGGTGGTACTATTTTTTTAAAACCACTAAAATTCTACCGGAAAATTGCTTGTTACAAATAGACTCATTATTTTGTTTTTATAATTTCCTACAACTTTATTGTTTTTTCTTTGAATCACTCGATAATTCACTTAAGGGGCGAGAAAGTTGGAACTATTGAATATAAAAGTCCCAGATAATTTAGATTTTACGCTTTGTGTTGTCTTTGTTTTTTTCAATACGTTTATATAAAACATTTCAAAGTTCAAACTACAGTATGCTTTTTGTTTGTAAAAAGAATTTTGCTAAACGTTAATCTGTTTTAACGAAGCTGTAACAAAGACCTCAATTACGTTGAAGCTGCTTATAAAATAAAGGGAACTTTGCTATAGGGACGTTATAAAACGCTTTGTTTGAATGGAATTGCAAGAACCACAGACTTCTGGTTGAAAATTGAAATCGTGCACATATATGTATATCAATTGTTCCTAATACTAGTATATATAAAACACATTACTCTTTATAACCCCTTTAACCACTAAACAATGAACAATGAAATCTATCATAAAGCATCCAAAACAGAGTTTCAACATTCCACCCGGTACGATTTTACTTATAAATTATAGAAAATTATAATAGTTATTATATAGAAATTCATCAATCTGATATAAATTGCTTAGTTTAAATTGACTTTTAGCCAAACGGAAGTTTTCAGATATTGACATTTGGGACTCGAGAGATTCCAAGATGGCGTCTAATTTAACTTACTGTATGGTCTCCTAGGAATTCCACCGTACATGGTAATATAGCTTTATTTCCCGCCGTTACTGTCACGTGTTCTGGTGTCTGGTTAAACTTTGGTTTTAATTCTCCCAGTGCTGAAAATATAAATGAATCAATTGATAAGACTATATAGAATAATGTGTTTATATTTTAATTTTAAAAGGGAAGTAATCCAGTTAGTTATATGATAAGACAAAGTCTAGTATAGATAAAAGTTGAATTGTACAGATTTGTAGCTTGTGTGTTTCGTCCTTGCGGGAATGCAGGTATTTTTGTATTCCTATTTATTCGTTACAAAAAATGAAAAATTTTGCACTTTTTCTAGTCTACTTATTTATTAAAATGTAGCCTTGTTTGATATTAAATGCCCGTAACCCTTAATTTATGCTCTCTGGAGCTATTGATAATGTTTAACTAAGTTTGATTTCATTCAATTAAGCGATAAAATAGAGACACTATTTCAAAACTCTCTCAAAACCGATTGACCTTTGAATTCAAAATACATCCAGTGGCTATCGTATAAAAAATGAAATTTTTTGTTCAAAAAAGGAGTAAGCGACAAAGGGGTTAGTGATAAACAATCGGGAGTAAGTTTTTAAAGAATGGTTTTTAAATGATAGATATATATCATTGCCTATCTTACATTCATCTTTTACTGTTATTTGGTAACATTTGACATTATCGCATTGTCTATCTTAGATTATAACATAGCTCAGATAGATTCAATCACGGATGTTTCATTGTTCAAGTGTCAGAAACGCTCTATCACTTTTCTCCATCAACATACCAGAAAATGAAGAAAGAAGGATATCAGCATGCAAATAGGAGAAAATCTGTATTGAACTGGATTCCCACTGGTTGATAAGATCGTCTATAGTAATGACTGTAGACAGTATATATTCACAATAACTATATCTCTATTACTATTTATTAACAATGTATTTCCAGATTTATGAAAATATGACGAATTGTAACCTTTTCATAGAATTATGATGTTATCACAGGTCTGTTAAAGAACATAACTTTTTGTAGCCTCATATTAGCTGTAACATTTAGATTTTTTGCATAACCACACAAAAACAAAAATAAATCTTACAAAGACAATGTTTCGTGTGTAATTTATTTCATCGTGGAACTGCTAGGTTGACTGTGTAAATTCTATCTGTTGTAAAAATTAGGTTCTTATTCAAATTCCTATCTGTTGTAATGGTTTATTGTGTAACATCTTCTATCACTTTTCAGTTGACTATATAGCCTTCTATCCTATGTAACAGCTGGATTTACAGTGTATCTTTCTGGTGAAATAACTAGGTGTATTATACAAATTCGCATCTGTTGTAATGGTTAGGTGTATTGTATAACCTATTCAGTGTTGTAACGACTAAGTTTATCTATAATCTATTCTGTGTTCTAACGGATAGGTTTATGTAGCAACATAATTTGTTTTATCTGATACAACTACTGAAATAACGACATGGTTGTTTGCGTAGCCACACGTCACTGGTAATGGTGGCTAGGTTTATTGTGTTGCCTCTTAACTGATGTATGTGCTGGTTGTATTTATCTGTTGTGACGGCATGGTTTATTGTGTAACAGTTTTCTTTCTTCCATAGGCCTTCTTGTAGTAAAATTGTCAAACTTTCGAAGTAAAATCATGTTTGCAGCGTACATATTGTTCTGTTGTTTCAAGTGTATTTTTCACAACTTTTGACAAGATTAATGACACAAATTCTTTCATATTAATTATTGATTAATTGATTAAGCAAACTAATTAAATAGGGAAGCAGGAAATCTCATCTTGTACAATCAGTGTGAAGTTTCTATAATGTCCAGTCGATAACGAATCCAACTAAATATTCGTTAATCACAATGGTCATTTAGTGGTCAGTTATACTTCCAAGTAAAGTTGGGCTTTAATTTGTCTGGTTTCTGACTCAGTTTTATTGGTCAATCTTTATCAAACAATGAATCAAGTCAGCATTAATTGCCGACCATTAAATCACCTCCTTCTACCCTTCACTACAAAATAATGAAGCCCCAATCACAACCTAGTCATTATTGAAACAGTGACTAGAATGAAGTCAAACTACCCTTCTTCCACTCTCAGCTACTTTACCCTCGTTTTTATATACCTTTACTTCATTTCTCCTATTCTTTACAGTTAAAATGTAGCGAAACCTACCCACTGAAGAGCCACTCACCCAAGACCTCGAGTACCTTCATCTACTTGAGTTATTCAGGTTCTATTCAATTTATTATCCATTTGAAATCTCTTTATCAAAGAAATACAACGATTTTACACATACAGTTGCAATAGAGTGAAGTTGAAATTAGATTTGTTCAAAATGAGAAACAATTCGAAAAACTCTCAAATCAACGCCCATTGTTCATACAGGTCGACCTTGTTCTCGGTAAGAATTCTCGGGCTCTTTTGAGACTCGCTAGAAAATATGCCTGATGATCAATTAACAAATCTTATCTGATGGCTAGACACCAAAAATAATTGAAAGCGTTTCAGTTCAGCATAACATTGGCCTTCAAATACATTCAAGTGTATAATGGGTAAGTTATGTACCTCATAGAGAACTCCATCTACCTTTTTTATACCTGCAATATTTCCATCATACTAGATGAGTGAACACCTCCCCCGCCCCCCTACATTTATTTACTGGGGTTGGGCCCCCTTACGGATGGGGACAGGTGCACTTGGCACAATCCGTCCCTATGATAGTTGAGCCACTGACGGATTCGACTAAGATGCATTAAAATTACAACATATTAAAAATGACGTCGCATTCGATCGAATATGAGCTATAACTTTCCCTATTCATTTCATAGCAGACTATCCAATGCTCGGTTTGTCCATTCAACCGTTATTGTAGAATCTCTAGCATTAAATATTTCCAGATATTTTACAGTATTTGTTATTTATGATGGTATCATAAAAATGGGTTTATAATTCTGATAATCCACCTATATTTCTCACCAGTCTCCAAACCTAATCAACTAAATAATAAAAGCTATAATACTCGGGAGTAATTAAATGCAAGATCTTTAAATAAAACCATTTAGGTGGAATTCAGATGGATTATGTTTAAAGGAATATGATCATGTGATTTCACTGTAATAATAACTAGTTTCCCTACGGTTCAGTACTATTAACTATCTAGAGCAATTTGTTTCTGAGAAAAGAGACACATTGAGTTAATAGACCCTACATTGGAGTGACATTGTGTGTTTTAGAAGGATATATTCAGCACACATTTGTACCTTTCTAATTCTCATATATACGCCTTCACCTCAATCTGTATTTCTGTCTTTTCAACACCTATTCTTAAATTATGTCTGGATGTAAATTGTGAATCAATATGAATAGAGACCACTTAATTACTGGATTGAACGCCTTTAATAATCTAACACTATCGGAAGTAGGTTTAATCAAAACTTTTTCTCCGATACTAAACACCTTCCAATCTCCACAAGGCTAGCGATATACTTAAATATGGATTTCATCAAGATACGGAGATCAGCAAAAATCAGAGTCTAACACTATACGTAATTAAAACCTCGCACTACGGTCTCAACACTGATCTGGGTGCAGATTCGTGCTGTATTCCACTTCTGAGCTCTTGATTACTGTGACAGCCCACAATTAGTGAGTCTTACGTTTCATTAAACTTGAAACATTGAGTAAAGTAGGTTTGATTCTAACCGTGCAACTTTTATAGATTAATTCCGCCTTCCTTTTAATCAATTGTAATTTTTTTATTTTCTTTATTGTTTTATGTTGATAGAATCACAATCTCTCTCGAGTTAAAGATGGGTTTTCCTTTCTATCAAAACTAGGAGCTCTGCATAAGTTGACATCAAGAAAGTTCTTATTAACAAAATCATTAATTTGCTTGCTACACAATGTTCCGAACTTCATCATCTGAGCAACTGATAGAGGCAAAAGAAGAATATTTTGACTTGGAACTTTTTCAGAAGGTCAAAATACCGACTGACCAACAGTCAGTGTCATTTTTACGCATAGAAATAGTCTAGCTATGGATTTTCCGTCTTGCAATGCTTGGCGAGTTCAAGCCCGACTTAATTTCTTATGACATTTTATTAGTGAAAGAATAGGCTATCATAATGACTGAATGTCCTAAGTTGTAATATATATGCAATTATTCGATATACTTTCTCGGAAACAATCAAAATACATCGACTCACGTATCAGAAACTCAGGCGATACCAAAGATCAATTTGGAAAGTTGTTATTGGACCTTTCGCCAAATTTTGAATCTGCGTTCAACACTACAAATTAATAGTTTTTCAAGAAGAAGGTCGAAGTCTAAAAAAGATATGAACCCCCGGGTCCGATTCAAACACACGAAAAGTCGATGTTTATTTTAGGTAGTCAAAGTAGTAATCAGCACAAAATAAGTTTAGTCTCTATAGTTTCAATTACTCGTCATTCCACATAAAATTAACGTGGACTGAGCGTGTTATGTTTTTAATCAGACCCGGATGTACCCAAATATCTTTTAACTATACACGTGAGGTTCTATAGCACATTCGGTACGGTATCCTTGTAAAATATAGTTCTTTCTTTCTAAATGCACACTAAAGAAATCAAAACAGCAAAAAAAAAAAAAAAAAAAAATGCAGACTATTTATAAAGAAGAGTTATAATGAGGATTTCCGGCTTTTGTGTAATGAAAACTGTGTGTAATTGATTAATCGAACCAAGAGCAATAACATCTATTTAGAAGCGAGTTTATTGATGTTTTTAACTTGACTATTAAATTTTGTCTCGTTAAACATGAAAACCATATAATAAATTAACTAAATGAGACAAATCAACAGTTGAATGATCAGCCATGTGAATTATTTGTGAGATAAATACGGTAGCTGTCAATTGTCCCCTCGATTCTAAGACACTGGTGAATATAGTGAATGTAGGTAATTGGACATTATCTACAGCTCTCAATATTGCTTAACAAATTAAAAGTCATAAAAAGACAAGCTGGATAATAGACGATTAAGAAGAAAGCTCGAGGCTGAAATTTAGTCGCTCGTCAAACGACGTTGAATATTGAAAGGGT